TTCCATAAATACGAGCCATCTTCTCGGTGTATTTGTTATCAGAGTTAACATTTCCAGACAGTGTAATGGTCTCATGGGGGAAGTTTAGTCTTCTATAAAAGTGAAACTTAACTCGAACAATATCATGTTGAATATGTAAGGAAACATAATCCAACAAGCACCGGTACAGTTGTTGTAAATGTAGTCCAGCAGGTAGAAGCAAAACCTGATAGTGTACAAGAAGTGACGTCCACAGAGGCTAGCAGGGTTAGCTTTGCTCAGTAAAGCATTAGGAAACTAACAATAGTAGGTAATAATCTTACAATCTTACAAATCACATCAACATCACATTGTGGGACATAATCAAATTGTGATTCAGGTTTTTAATTTTGGCTTTTCTCTACAGTTGTAAATTAAGCAAATTAGTTCAATCGATTGGCTACATTCAAATTGTTGTTTGTTTGTGGACCTGTGATTGGCTGGTGAACTGTCCAGGTTGGTCCAACCTCACCAAAGAACTACTGAATGTCAATAGACGCTCTACCGTCCTCGTCATTAAGACGACAACTCAACGTTATTGCTGCTGTACATACACAGAAACATGAACACAACGTCAAGGAAACGTGGCAAGAGTGAGACCTCTCCCCACCGCCCCTCATCTCTCCCCGGTTAATCCTAGAACTCCGACAGCTCATTAGCATAAAATGTGTGTCAGTAGGGCAACGCCAGCTCACATGCCATGCGCACATGCTGCAGAGCTTTGAGCAGCATTCCAGCGTCAAACCAGCCCAGTGTGCCGTCTCCATGTGGGGCTGTCAGCCAATGAACGACGGGAACGAGTAATAAAAAAAAAATAAAAAAAAGACTGGGGGCGTGGAAGAAGGGACGGGTGGTGGTGGGGGGAGGGGGGGTGTTTCACTGAGCGTGACAGAGAGAGAGAGAGAGAGAGAGAGATCAGTGATATCTACAAATCAACAAACAGGCGGTTCATAGGACACACACTGGGGGAGAGAGAGAGAGAAAAGCGAGAGAGAAAAAGAGAGAGAGATTGGTCACATTTCTGAAACACCTGAAAACGTGCGGGTTATTTTAGAACGCGTGTTGCTTATTGATGAGAGTAGGCAGAGCTTGATCTACTTCTAGCCCTGCTGTCAGCCTTGGATGACGACTGTACCACTGAACTGAACGCACTGGCACGTCAGTGATACAGAGAACACAGCACTCCTGACGTATCTTCTCTCTCCGTCTCTTTTTTTTTTAACCACAGAGCAGAGGACGAGACATAGCATTTTACCCACTCAGGGATTCACTTTTTAGCGGACTGGGTTTCCTTCAGACATCCACCTCCTGATGCCCTTTGCTGCACCTTCTCTGTGCTCTGAGCTTTGGGACACACTCTCTATGCCTTGGCAGTTCATGACTCTTTCACCTGTTTCAACCAAACTCCTCGGTGTCGGGCATCAACATTGTCTTCAGCAGG